GGGAGTACCCTAACAAATGGGCAACGGACCGCGCCCGATTTTTTCGTCTTCTACGTTGTGCTACCTCATCTCTTACTTACATACACTTACATTAACATGTACTGCAATACCACACGTGCCGGGAGACCGGTCGGTAGCTAAGAGCTTGACCCGTCGGGTGCGGTTCCCCGCTGGTGGGAGATACCTGGTTGGGGAAAAACTCCGCCAGCCGACGGTAGGTCAGCTCCTGATCTCGCCAAATAGCGGGGAAAAATCACCGCCACCTCCCGAAAGAAAACATTCACTACACTTACAGGGAAAGTTGTCTTAACTGTTAACACGCCTTATTCACTAATCAATTCAACAATCAGTTACTTCTTCTTCAAGGCGTTTTGCTAACAATGCGTGCAAGAATGTGTTAAAATATTATGTTCTGAATCATTGTAAAGACAAAAATACTGTAAACATTTTTCTGTGCTTGCTGTTGTTACTCACTAGGGGGCTCTCATAGCACAACTGTTATCTGCATTGACAGATATTAATCGTTATTTTTACACTTAGGGCGTTGTAAGTGTTCTAAAATGCTGCGGCGACGAAATTCCCAAGGGACTTTGGACAGGGATTTGTTCGTCGCGCGAAGTCATTAGCATCAGTTAACGCCCGTGGTACATCGAACCTGATTTTATTTTTTACCTAATTTTAATTACGCAGGCACACTATGACAAGGCGGCAGTCCCAAAGACTTGACACATGTTTCTCAACGTATGTCGACGTGCTGTATCCAAAACTGAAGCCAGAAATTCACAACCACCCACCAATTTTATTTTAATGTTATCTTCGCCATTAGAAGTAATATACTGGTTATTTGATTACTAAGTACTTGGTTCCAAGTATTTAATATTAACTGGCCAATCTTAGATACCAATGTAAAATCAATATTTTAAATAATATTTAATAAATGTAATAACCATTATTCTCAATCTCCAATGACAATGCTATACCGACTTAAAATAAAAATAAACTTGTGCTAAAACAGCATGTACTTTCTCGCTCATACTTTCACGCCAAATTACGCAAAAAGTACTCAAATTTTCAAATCATTTTAACCACACGTTTTAAATTTTTCTTTTCTTAATTTAGCGAACTAGAGTTATCCACTTTTCCGTTACCATGGCCCTGAAATAAGAGTTTTTCTGCCAAAATTCCAGCTTTTATTCGGGCAGCATTACGTAACTTTCTCTCTACTGTGTAAACAGTAGCGAGAAATTAAAAATAATTTAATAATTGAACATTAATATAAAGAGAATTGTAATAAAAATGTTTGTTTAAGTTAACTATTATAATAAAATTCTAATAATATTCTAACAATATCCTAATAATATTCTAATAATATTTTAATAATATTCTAATAATATGCTAATAATATTCTAATAATTAATAATATTCTAATAATCTAATAATATGCTAATAATCGGATAATATAATAATCTGATAATATTCTAATAATATTACATTAAAGATAATTAGACTAAATTAAAACAAACGGTGAATTCCTTGAATAAGTCGATATAAGTCGATTAGTCGATGGAAGCGATGTGTGCCAAAGCTCCATCAACCCGCGAGACCTTCGCGGGCCGGCCGAGAGCACGCGAAACTCACCTGTGGCTGGGCCGCCGACGTGGCGCTCCACCGCCCGGGGCCGCGTCAGAAGCTTCGTGAGCCGAAAGACGCGCGGCAAAAAGGCGCGAGTCGGCCGGCGCGAGGGGTGGGAGGGAGGGGGGAGGCCTGTTCTTACGCTCGCCGCAACAGACAGGCGCAGTGCACTAATAGGCGCGGGGCGAACGTCCGAAAAACTGGACGCCCTCCCCCCCCCCCCGCGGCGCCACTTGGGGATCTTCGTCAAAGCTCGGAGGAGGCCTTGCCCACAGCGCACTGGTCAGCCTACGAAGAGGAGTTCAACTAATATAATAATAATATAATAATAATAATAATAATAATAACAATAATAATAACAATAATAATAACAATAATAATAATAATAATAATAATAATAATTTCTTTCTTTCGTTTCTTATAATATTAATTCGTTTCTTATACTATTAATTTGCATAATCAGCAATGAAGTAATAATTAATTTATAGTTGTCAAAAATATTTATATATATTGTACGAGTACGTCATATTTTTACTTGCTTTTCCTAATTCCATCACTAATTCCTGTGTAAATTTATTTCTGATTCTTTTTTTGTAAACAATATCAATTATTTTATTAAGTATTTAAGTAGTATTTAATGTCTAATATTTGCTACGTGATTCACATCACAGTTCTACAAAGAGCAAATCTTCAAACACCATTTGTAGAAAAATTAACAAAGTCCACAGAACTGACTACAGAAGTAAAGGCTCTATGCCATCTACAAAAAGACCATGTCATTCATCTGATTATTGCTTCCACGGGGGTTATAGCATTCCCTAAAAATTATGCAAAAATGTGTTCTCTTTAGCACTTGCGGGTCTGTAAGCCAATTTCTAAATTACGACGAAACATGAATTTTGATCTGTGTCTTTGTTACTAACCCGACAAAAAATCAACTAAAATTCCGGCGGTTTACAGCAGTATTGTACGAGAGTATTTGTTCGTTGTTTCTGAAAAAATTGGGGGAAAATATTTGGTGTTGTTTTCTTTAGCAGCATTTTTGCTCGTGTTGGCTACTAGTATATATTAAATTCAGAAGAAAAGTTAACATCAAAACTGGAACATTTCGTATCTTTCTTAATAAAGAAATAATTTAACACGTTAATTATTCAATAGAACTAAGAAATTTGATAAATACAAACTGGAAGGTTAGACATTCTTTAAAATTAACGAAATTGATGGAAACAAACTAAAGGTTAAATATTGTTAAAATAGCAAAAAATGCACATTCTTCCTTCCTCTTTTGCATTTAGAGCACATCACTTCACTGCATGTCCCTTCACTGCCCAATATTTTTTACATTAAAGAAGACGTGGATGAACACTCAACACAAGTTCACATTTTTACTGAGCTGCATAATGCTCGTGATAACAACTCTCTCGTGGAGATTGAGACAACCGAATCGCTATGAAGAAATCCTTCCGCTGACGCGCGACTGCGCCGACCTCTTCGCACGGGGAACTTCGTTCGCTCGCATGGCCAAGGCAGCGGTTCGCTCTGTCCTCGGGGCACTTTTGTTCATTTAACCTCCGACCCCCGCGCCCGGCCAGGAAGCGAAGCCCCAGACGGACAAGGAGATTGGATGTGCTTTGTGGCGAAACAAAAGAAGGAGCGTCTAATAGTGAAATTGGCTGTCTCCGAAGACGATTGTTACTTGTTCGCAGCGTGTAATATAATTATTTGGACCGTTAATTGAAGTTAAGGGCCCTTGACATTCGGTTGGACGTTAGATTTACTGTTGTGGGGCGAATACCAACTGTAAGAAATGGGGTCTGCGAGGTCGAACGTTTTTTTTTTGGGGGGGGGCAAGAGTAATTAGGTGTTCCTGGCCGTTAATATTTGTTTGTGATGGGTAAGCTTACAAAAAGTTAAGTTTATGACTGATTGAAAAGAAAATAATTCATGTTGAATAGTGTTTTATATTTATCTGCATTCTTCCATCAAGGTTCTTTTTATAATAATGAAATGAGAACCATAATTCTTATCTGAAAATCTGTTAGAAATGGATGTATTACATTGATAGAAGTGACACTGAAAATATTGCTCTTCTTTCGATATAAAACTACAAGAATGAATACATGAATCAATGAATGAATACATTAATGAATGAATGGCATGAATACAAATATTTACAGGTTGTTATATATTATTTTACTTTAAACTGGTATTATAATTCGTATTAACCTTTATTAACATGGCACTGCACAGCATCACGATGCACAAACTAACATATACACACGTATCTCCTCGCTCGTTATCAGAGAAAAAAATGCAATACATACCATACTGAATGATAAACCCCCATAGTTAGTTGGTACGTAAAAGGTTAATATAATAAATAAAATAAAACAGGCATAGTAATAAGCACATTAGGGGGGAGGGAAGGGGGGATCGAAAATGTAAGGGCAGAGGCGTTGGTGCGGACGATCTTCTGTGGCGCTGTTTGATTTCAGGTGCTGAGGAGGCCATGCACTGGAAGGAGACGGCGGGACGCCCGCGCCAGAAAATAAAATAGCTAAAATAAACGTCGGATAGATTAGAATGTACTCGGCTTCTGACGGCAGGTTTTTCCCCCTTCAGGGGTTTTTTCCTGAGCCGTACCTTATGGTCTCTTTTCCGCGGCTTTGATGCGATGGAGAGACCATTTGGGGTGAATACCAGAATTCGAAAGATTAGAACGCGAAAGGATGTAGGTATTATAATGGCTTAAAAGCCTTCGGCCCAGCCACATAGGATCAAGTAAGCTAATTTGTCTGTAATAATTACCTATTAAATAAATAAATAATGATACACCCACCCACTCAACCCACCCAGACACCAAGTCGTCCGCCACTTGCTCTTGGGTCCGTGCCCTGCGCTCCCGACCTCTGCGCTGTGGCTGGAGCCCCGCGCCACCCGGGAAGGAGATTCAATTCGTTTCCCCTCCCCACATCCAGCGCATGCGCACACACTCTTTGTCCAGGCCCCGGCGCCCCGGAGCACGCCAATGTCCCACGGACCCTAAAATATTTTGTACCGATGTAATTAAAGGAACATTTTAGTTATTTAAAAACTGTTAATGCATAGTATAGCGCAGTAGTTCTTAAATAGGACCGCAAGTGCAGAAATTGTTCAAAATACAAACGTTATTGTCAAAACTCAGAAACAGAAAAAAAAATATTACAAAAGTTTTCTTCGTGTTTGTGTTAATATTGCTAATATATTTATATTTGGCAGTATTTTAGTACAATATGTAATATATTTAGCACTATGATAGTTTCCTTTAACCCAACACATTGAGTTATGATTTTACAGGATGTAAAATATGTTAATTGTTCTTTTTGCAGTTTTGCAGGTGGAGGCAGTTCGAAATGGTTGTAATGGGAAATGGTAATTGGAGGTGAAGATGAAGAAAAAAGAAAAAAAAGACTGAAGAAAAAATTATTTGTAAAGAGATAAAATGTAAAGATTTTGTTAAGAATCAATGCAAAATAAAATAATATGAAAAGTGAATGTGGAAGAATATGTTTTGCATTATTGGTCTTTGTAATATTGTGAAATATTTAGCTTTATATGACATTTAATCTGTAAAACATGGCTTTATTGACCAGGATTATAAATTATATCTGTAATTTGATCCAAATGAAATAAAAAAAATATTTTCAGAACTTATAATTAATGAATGTAGATGAAGGGGTCAAATTATGTTGTAAAAGATGTGGAATTTCATGGAAGATTGCATACTGCATATTAATTATAAAGTTGTGTGCATATTGAAAATAAATTATTTTATGTGGAATTGAAAAATGATTTTTTCATGTATGAATTGAATGTTATCAAAGACAAATGTTACTAATAATTACATCAGTATACTTATTTCAAAGAATAATAATTTAAAGAAAAGTAACAAAAATACGACAAGATATGTGTGGTACTTATTATAGAGTGAACATAATTGTATTAATTTAAAATGATGTAGATTTTGTCAATTTTGTGTTACTAAAATTTGACTTCTTTACATAGTGATACATAGCATAAAACCACGTGTACAACGGAAACTTTAAATAAACTGTATATAGTGACAAGATATAATGTTCATAAATTTGACAGGAAATATTTATGAGGTTTCTCGTATAACCATTGTTTTCTAATTTTATCTGTTACATATATTATAGAAATGTGGTAAATACAACTTTAATTTAATATAAATTGGCAAGTGATTTTTCTCTTATTTTTTCTTAATTTAATTTTTTATTACTTGTTTTTGAAAATATATTTTTTTCTTGTTGTTCCCCAAACCTTTCTGGTTTATTAATAAACATAATTTAAATACTTTCTTAGCTTATTTATTCGATTCTATCATCGCATTTTCATTTAATAATTGTTTTCCATTACTTAAATAATTCAAATCTTTTGTCATTTATTGCTTTGCATTGCTTACTATTCATTATCTTCTACTATCTTCCTCTGTAATTGTGTTTAATATGTTTCCTGTAATGTGATCTTTGTTTCCTTTGTTCTTTTATTTTTGTTTTTCATTCCTCATAATTATAATAATTTGTTCCATATTAGAATAAAAGAGGGAAAATGTGTTAATTTGCATTAGCAATAAGGTAAGTAACTTTCATGCATTTTAATCGAATTACAATACATTTTACTAAAGCATTCTGCAAATAGCAAAAACATTTAATTTGTATAGACAAAATACAATATTCAATTCAGTTTATTTATTTACAAATTTGTCCATAATTTTTTTCAAACAATTCTATGTAATTTTTCAGCGTCAAATTAACAAAAAATCAAATGAATTATTTTACAATTATACATTTCATTATTTTGAAAATGTATGCTTATTTCTTATTAACAATGTGCATGACAAGAATGTGAGGTAAAAATGTACAGTCAATTCCTGGTATGGGAGGAAATCTATAAAATTTCATCATATGCACTCCAAATTAAATCATTCCATATTTTCAATGAATCGGGAACAAAGGGCACGGAAAATTATTTACAAATAATTAATGCAAGTTATTAATTCGAGTATAAGAATTAAGATAGGGAAATGAGATGGTAGTTGTTAAAAAAATAAATGAAAATATAAATTATTTAAATCATATGAAAATAGGCAGCAATCCTCTCACTGAATTACAGATAAGGACTGACGAGTTTTCTTCGAAGAAAAACTACGAATAAGCATTAAAAAATCAACAACAATAAGATATTAAGTTGCTCAATATACCACCATCAAAAATAAAAAGGCGTGTAAAACAAGCTCTTACTGATAAACATTTTTGGTCCATGTTTGCGAGGCGACTCTCAGCTTTGGAATACAGCAAAGACGAAAACTTGGAGATGTTAGCATTTAAGCGAAACGTTTAGTAAGGGCCACCTGGTAACATCAAATGAGTTTCATTGAAATATTGCAAGTTTGCGATTAAAATGCAATGAGTTGATTAAAACGATGTAATCAAATGTCGACAGCAAAGTCTTCAAGAACGTGTATAGAGAGAGCCATGATCTCAGCTCATCAAAATTAGTTCGTAAGGACTAGAAGAAAAAAATGCAAAATTTTTGATTGATTAGTGATTCAAGGTGCGTTAACTGATAAGGTCATTAGTCCCGTAAGCGTAGTGTATGTTTAGCTCTGGGGGTGGAGATCATGATCTCCCCATGGTGGATGAGAATCAGCGCTGACCTACAAACAGCTTACCGTCAACCAGGTGCCACCAACTGCCCAGCCGGGACAAGCTCTATGATCCCGACCAGTCTCCCAGCATGTGTGCTTGCGTAGTGCATGTTAGTGTAAAGGGTAGGCATAAAACAAGGAAGCGAAATGAATGGTTGGACGCGATCTGTGGCCCATTTCTTAAGATATTGCTTGGGCATTCGCCTGGCATTAACTTCTGCTCACTATCTAGCTAATGATAAAAATCGTGCCGTCGTCGGGACTAGAACATGGTCAGAGGCCCTGCAGTGACATCTGATCATGCTCAGAGAAAACTCTCCCGGTGCTAGAATACGAATTTTCAAAACTACATTTATTCTGTAGTACTTAGTACTTTTATCGGATCGCCTTTTAGACATCATGAATCTTTCAGCTACCTGCCCATCCCAAATCACTTTCCATTCTCACATCTGAAATTATCAAACTTCTGGAAGGGACCTTCCCTCTTCTCGGCCACCAGAAGAGGCCCTTGCACCGCAAGTTGTCAGTCTCTACAGCAGTCATCTCAAGGTTGCGGAAAAGGTAGGTCATTGGTGTCTGCAGACAATACCTCAAGACCAACTGGCGCGAGGTTTAAAAAGAGCTGCACAGATTTATCGTCAAGGTAAGTCACTAGAGTTTGCTAGCACCATCTCCAGAGCAACTGGTACGAAGTTTAGAAATAAGAACTGTACAAATATACCGTCAAGGTAGCTCACTAGAGTTCGTAGGCACTGCTTCCAGAGCAACCGGCGCGAGGTTTAAAACTAAGAACCGTACAGATAAACCGTCAAGGTAGCTTACTACAGTAGAGTTATTAGGCACTGCCTCCAGAGCAACTGACCCGAGGTTTAAAAAGCCAGAAGCAAGAACTGTCCAGAATTATCGTCAAGGAAGGTCACTAGAGTTCGCGGGCACTGCCTCCAGACTACAGCTTCTACAATTACAACTTTTATAGCAAATCTTTCAACGTAACGTATCGAAATCACTTATTTTGGACTGGACTTGCGAGGTCGATCATAGAATTTAGAAACACACCGGAACGTAGAAAAATGTTGCGTTTCTGAGAGTGTTAGTGCTACGTCATGTCTTTGTTTTTCAGGCTTAAATAAGGGCTATTTCAAGCAATAAAAGTATTAGTATAAAGTGTTTGGACGTGGAGATATAGTTTAATGTTTTTATAGGGGGAAGGAGAGAATTGTGTGTATGGGGGTAAGGTAGATATCCTAGAATTCAAGAACAATTACAGAGAATTCACTTTTTTCCATAGTACGTCACACAGATTTGAACGGTTTTGTGAGTTGAATAAATGTAGTAGTTGTGTGACCCTGTCCGGCACACAAGCATAACTTCTGCTAATGGCTGGATTCTAACGTAGTAATTTTATTTACTTTATTATTTACAACACTATTCTTTTCTGTGATGACATCTTTGTATTTTCGTGCTGTTAAGTGTAGAAGAAAAATTAAAGACATTCAAAGTATTTTATTCTATATCGGATACTGTTACTTATTTCAGTTTCCAATTGAAAACATATTTTAAGATTTTCACGGAGTGTAGAGAATAAAGATGATCTTTTTCTTACTTACAATTAACTTTCAACCTCACTAAGATTCTAGCTACGTAGGTAAAATTTGCAATTCATGTAACATATTTCAATGTGAGCTTGGATTTATAAATAACTTGTATGGCTTTTGCCATTTTAAGGTCATATTAATCCTACTTCTAAGTAGATAGCGGAGTTACCAATTCCTAGGGCAGAAGGCAAGGGAAACGAAGTCTGCACGTTGCATTCCTATCAACGTATCGAGCTTTTTTTGTCCTGCCTGCGGTTTCTTTCGTATACACTCACATTTTAGTAAATATAGTACACGCTCACACACACACACACACACACGGATACACACATATATATATATATATATATATATATATATATTATATATATATATATATATATATATAGTATAAGTGTGTGTGGGGAGATTAGAAGAGAGAGAGAGAGAGCGAGAGAGAGAGAGAGAGAGAGAGAGAGAGAGAGAGAGAGAGATGCGAGGTTTACTTTCCGTTCATTTCTATTGTGTTCATAATTGTTATTTATTATTTTTCCTTTTGCATGGTATTGACCCACTGATAATTGGAAAATTGTTTCCCAAAAGTTAATTTAGGGATGTTTTTAATAAATAATAAAATAATAAAGCTGACATTGTAGTGGTTGATTATTTTCTGACTCACATTATGGAGTACCACAAGATACCTGCAAGCATCAAGATCAAAATTTACACTCATCAAAAATTAAATTTGTTCAAAGAATTGGTGGCCCCGACCGGGAGTCGAACCCTGGCTTTCTGATTAACGCAGAGCTGCCTGGACCACTAAGCTACCGCAACAATCGATTCTTTGAGCAGCTTTCACGAGTGCAATTATCGCTCATTGTATATACTATATACAATTGTCCCCTTCCCGTCACCATGATGGACGCAAATATATATAAAAAAATACTATCTCCATCTTCCCCTGCGTTGCGTTTGCGTATCGCAGTTTTCGTCATCGTCTTTCGCCTTCGCTATTTCGATTGTTCATTACTTCTAGGCTGTACGTGTACATTTCGATTGTTCGTTTTTCGGTCTTCATTGATTGTTCTTCGAATTTCGTTGTTGGATTGTTGATATTTTTTCGTTGTTCGTTCTTCGTTATTCGTCTTTTGTAGTTTGTATGTCTCGTTTGCTCTCCGCCTCATTCTTTGTTGTTTTTTGTTTCTCGTCCCTTGTTTTTCCATTCATTACTCACTCATAATAGTTGTTTTCTGTTGCTTGTATTTGTTGTCCGTTCCCCGTTCTTTATTGCTTCTTTCTTCGTTCGCTGATCGCACATCATTCCACACTCTTAGTGTTTTGTTATTAATTATTTGCTGGTTAATCGTCCTTAGTTCTTCTTCGTTCTTATTTCGTGAGTCGTTTTTGTCGTGAGTCGTCGCATGTTTTTCGTCGTTTTTTATCTTTGTAGTTAGTTTTGTTAATCGTTTCGTTAATCGTTTTTGTTGTCCGTGTTTTGTTTTTCGTCATTGGGATTTTGTTGGCCGGTTTTCGTTTTCCCTTTTCCTCGTTTTCCTCTTTTCCGATTCTCACCACTCGTTTCCCGTTCTTCAATTTTGATTTTTCGTTTTTTGTTTTTCGCTTTTCTTTCTTTGTTGTTCGTTTTACATTTTTAATTTTTCGTTTTCCGTTGTTGGATTTTTTGGTTTCGTTTTTGTTCTTCAATTATTTTGTTTTTTTGTTTTTGAACGTTTGTT